GTGTTTTGTGTGCTTAAATGACCACATTCCGAGGTTTCCGATAAGTCCACTCCACGGTATGGAAGTTATTTTTCTGTGGCCGTACTTTCACGAGCGAAGTGAGCGAAAATGCAGAATTGATACATCCCATCGCTTACTTACATAATTTACATCTTAGGAATCACTCGGTATGTGATTCTTTACATTCGGCCGTTAAGTTCACGCATAAAGTGCTTAAAAACACGCTGCAACGGAGTTTGTGTGTGGTAGTCGTACCACTCATTTTCCTTACACATTGAACGCATGTTTTATTTTACATGTGTATAGTCCTTATTCAGAAGCAGAAGGAATATTAAGTTTTAAATTGTTTTTTGTTCAACAATTTTGCTTTTTGGTGTTTAGTGATTAATGTATTTTTCATACTACATTTTTAGTCCCCGTTCGGACGCAGTCCGAAAACGGAGACTTATGTTTTGACCTCCGTGCACGGGCGTCCGTGCGTCCGTGCTTCCGTGCGTCCGTTCGTGCGTCCGGACCTGAATCTTGGAAATGCCTAGACCAATCACGATCAAACTTCACACATCCAACATGCATGATATTATAAATATGGATATCAATTTGTTTCACGATCTGATTCAAGATAGCCGAATGGCGGCCATTTTTGTTCTAAAAATGGATGGATTTTGTTCAAACTTGGTATATATGTTGAACATTGTAGGACCTTGATACACATTTTGATTTCAGATACAAATGTCACATTTTTAATAAATGTGGTTCTAGTGCCATATCTGTGACTGATTATGTTCAAATTTGAAATATTCATTATACATCATGTCATAGCTATACAGATATATTGGTTTGACGATCCTATTACAAATGGCCGAATGGTGGTCATTTTGTGCTAAAAAATCATCAAATATCAAGCATTTATGGACGGATTTTGTTCAAACTTGGTACATACATTAGACATAACGGGTCCTGATGCACTTTATTTTATTTTTTAGATCGGATTCAGAATGGCTGACTCGTGGCCATTTTGTTTTAATGAATGGGCTTCTAGAGCCATATCTCTGACATGCTTTGACTGACTATGTTCAAATTTTATATTCATTATACATGTATTCAAAATGGCTGATTTTGTTTTAATTAATGCTGTTCCAGAGCAATATCTCTGAATACTCGTTTGACGATCAGATACAAATGTCAATCATTTAAATGTTAAACAATCATCATAATCATATTCCTGACATAATTATATATTCCAGCTATATTACTATAAACAAAACTATATATCTTAAATCTAACGGAGACTGTGCCATGCATGGCTTGTTTTACTTGAGTCGAGAGTCTTTATAAAATCGTTTTATAATTCATAAATCGTTTATGAAATATCACTCTTTTATCAAATCAAAGCCGGAACTATTGTCAAAAAATTTGGCTCTGAATGTTCGTTTTTTTTTTTAATTTAACGCTTGTGGCAATCTGGGGTGGTGACAGAAAATGCAGAACCAAAACAGTCTGCCGGCCGTTGCCGTCCGTGTCAGCTATATGATTTTACACACTAGAAATTGAAATCCATAATTACATACAAATAAACATTAAATACAGCTATCCCGGCCATCAATCGAATCATCAGTCTTCATGTGTAATGTAACTGATATTTCCACCCATTTGCTTAGTTCTCTGCGAGCGAATGTCGTCAAGTTAGAGAGTTTGTCTTTAGGTACGGCGACGTGAACATTATCGATTACGCATCGAAGACGCATTGAAAAGGAAGTCCATTTTGAGCTAGTGCCATTGTCAAATTTCGGAGAGTAGAAGACTATTTAGACAGCAGACGTTCCGGCATGGAATTGTTCGATTAGCAAATCCAAATCCTTTATTTGAGCAGAAAATGTTCTATATATTCACCAAAATAACAACGTTGCATTGTTTTTGGACATACAACGAACTTGAAACAAAAGAAATCGTTCTATCCAAACGACCTGCGTTCTTGGAAATCAAGTCTTATCCCCTTTGTGTTCCCGGGCGAAAAAGGTCGAGGCCAAAAAACAAACAAACATTTTTTGCCCAGTCTTCCCAGCGATTATATGGGATATTTTTATTTAGGGGCACCCGGAGAACCAAAATTTGGAACGTGAATCACTTCGGCGACGAAAAAAGGGAGATAATAACTAAGGGAATGCGAGACTATTTACCTCGGCGATAGCTGCAGTAATTGCGATCCAATCGATATTGACACGATTCCGAGAAACGCAGTGACCAGCGATGCCCAAAACTACACAAACTTTTACAAATTTTAATGAAGGACATTAATTGAGTTTTATTACAGACTCAGAAGAACAAATATTTGTGATGTACTAGTAATTAACACTGCAGTTCGAAAATTGAATAGCGACACCGAACCAAATTAGTAACGGAAATATTTAATAAAATAAAATGGAACACCTACAAAAAAACTATAAACAAAAACCCAATGAACACATAATAGATATATATATATATAAAAGTCAATGACTAAGTCGATGCTGCTGTCTAATTAATAACAAAGTTGGTTCTTATTATTGTGCCAAAGGAATTGTTAAGTTATTATTTGACATTATCTCTGGTTGTTAGTTGACCCGAAAATGAAGGATTTTTTGAATTTTGAATTTTCCCGGCGATAGCTACGTAAATTGAAACCAAAACGTTATCGGCAAGATTCCAGGAACGACAGTGACTACCACCAACACCTGATTGAAGGCAAGTAAACACGTGAATCATACAAAACTGTTTTTAGTCGTTGCGTAAAGTAAGGGACTAAACCAATGTTTACCTCTGAGGGGAATGGAAATTACTCGCTTTTGAGGGTTTCATAATAAGCGAGGGTGAAAACCGTTTTTATGCTATGAAAAAGTGAAGACCTTGAACGTATTTTTATGTTAGAATTCCAATTGACCAATCCATTGTGACATCATCGTTAGTTTTAATTAATATTAATGATTAGTTCAACACCATCCAACCAGCAAGCGCCACAGTGGCAAGTCGTAATGTCATTGAAGGCATGCTCGGGCATTATAGGCATAGACAGTGTTTAGCTCAAAAGTGTCAAAATTACTGTTTGAGAATGTTGATTTTCAATATAAAACGTAAAAAAAAAACGATTCGCAAACAAAACAAGAATATACTCTTATATATTGAGCAGAAACAAACTACATATAGTTTGTATTTCACGTTGTTCACATTGAATGCCATTCTTGAGATGAATAAAGGGTAACGTCTCAAATAAATTCACAAAAAAGCTATTCAATTGATTGGTCGTTGATTCGCATAAATATAGAAAGCCCGCACGGCCCAACGTAAAATCGCGCCCTCTACTGATATATAGCGCACAGTAATCTGTAGATTGTCCCACTCGTGTCAATTTTATTGTTTCATGATAATTCTTGGTCCCAATAGATTTTACAAATTCGTTCCTCTAAGCATGTATCATATACTTTGTGGTTATTTGCGTATTATCAGTTAATTGTACAATTGTATTATTATTGTAGTGGAAATAAATCAATCTGAATATACAGAAATAATATTATTATGGCTGGGCCAGTCGCCAAATAAGGTGTAGCCGTACTGAATATACTAACGTCCTGAATTGGAAAATAAAAAACAAACAAACGTCAAACACATTGCGGAGAAATTTTTATTGTTCATACGAGAAATACTTATACGAGCATTTATCTATCATCTAGCTGAATTGAGATGAATAGACGTTCCCATTATACCGTCGTATTCCTAACAATATTAAGAACATGCCATGCCAATTTATAGATAGAATTTGAGAATGGATAATCGCGGTATTTTAAATATCTACACATCTATCTAAGCATGTTTGCGGACAATATCACGATAATTCCCTGCGGGCATTGGAACAATCGGTCAATAATGCCCTGTAAGAACAAAAGTTAGATCACATGAACTAAAAATCGTCTCCACAAATTTAAAGGGCGCCATCGGTGTTCATTTTCCAACATAAATATCACTGAAATCTGAGCCGTCAGACTGGGTTGGGATGTTGATGATACACGTGTACCCAATGTGTATGCCCATTCCATAATATCTAAATCAGTTTGAAACGACGCAAAACAGTGAAACCAGCCGTTCAGATAATACCGCCATCATGGCAATAATTAACTATGGCATAAAATTAATTCCTAAACACGTATACGCTTGGCTAACATCGTGACGATACATACGTAGACAATACAGTACAGTGGACTCAATTCGTCATATTTAATACTCATATATAACGAGAATTTACTAGTAGGCAGATTCGATGACCCACATTATTAAAATGTGAACTAAATAGATTCAACCCAAATTATTTTTGCTCAATTAGATTCAGTTTTTAATTCAGACAATAGCGTCGTTTTACAGTATATACACGTCACACATATTGTCATTGTATTGTGACATTCCAGCAGAATACGCTGTAGTCCTCATCCAGTGGCAGCCAAGGACGACCACTGATTTTAGCATATGGTATTGTCCAAGGTACTCGACTTTAAAGCGATATCGTATTCACAAATGCCACAGAGCGTGGGCTGAACGGTGCGACATCTGCAAGTGTAATTTCTCTGCTTTTCAAAACGGTTGGTATGTGATCATTGACGTCAGACGGCCCGTAGGAGATTATCATGCCTCATACTTCCGAGCCCATCATATTCAATTATACTATTTTTATCAGCGTATATACGATATCGACTAATCAATACACGGTCCAACTGTAACACGCACAATAGATTACCTGTTTTTGTCACAGTGCATTCGTCGCAGCAGTGTCGCGGTTTCTGATTTTCATCGCCGCACAGATTAGTACAGTGCGTATTATGTAGTCATCAATGAAATCACTTTCTGTTCACTATTGTTGCCATAACAACTGCCGATGTGATCCGTATACCGGTTAGATAGTTACCGTATCGAAGGCAAATTATCGATAATTACGGTACCCTTACGTTGGTGGTTTGGAGTACGGTTGTCATCAACTCATGGCGCGCCAGTTCATCTTACTGTATTTTACTTTTAGTCTAAACAATGTTGGCATTTTCGGGTAAGTTTGTTTAAAAATACCAATACCATATACATTATAATATTGTAATTACATAAGTATCAGGAATTTTACAATGAGTGAATGGTACGCATATTATACTGGTTACCAATGACGTGGTACAATTAGAGTATACGCTATTAAGCGTATTAGGTACTATAGAATATGGATATATGTTTTTAGCAAATCAAAGCTTCCTGTCAATATTTGTACATATGAAACAAACGATTAGATGTGCAGTTAACATGATGTGTACATCCCTTTTGTTCGAATATTGACCGAACTGAGTTGACATTATCATATACATCCAGTTATTCAAAAGATGTAAACAAGATATTCGAGTCGGCGCAGTCATACTATAATGGTTTATTTTTCATTTTAATCAAATTCATGCAATCACCTTTGGTCTTATCAGTAAATAAATCTGATTAGTAACTGTTTTGTAAAACGAACACATAATTAGTATACATGCAATAATAAAACATTTTTATATTGGGAAGGAGTGCTCAAGAACGTTGAGTGTGTGAGAAGAGTTCGAATACATACTGCACGCAACCAATAAGCATTGACATTATTAAAATGTACACACACACACTACTAAATATTTGTGAAAGTAAAAGTTACGTCACACAAGACACACAATTTGAACTTATGAACTTAGATCTGTAATCAGCACATCTACGTACCATATTAGTTGTGGGTATTGTCATGGAGGTATAAACAGATGTGGAAGATACACACTTACAATTTCAACAAACAATAGTCGTGTTCTTGCATTATAACTGTAGTAATGTGGCGTGTTTTATTGTCTCGCCATTTGAACAAATATTCATTCTTTTTAATAACTGCTCTGTCTATTTAACTGCCTCATAGTATTTGGTGTTTACTGTGCGTGGATAATGTACCATAGGTGTATTTAACTTTGTTATTGATAAATACCGAACGTCCATAATTTGCAGCAGACGTATGCCATGATTCAGTATATGCATTTAAGGATAATACAGTGAATTATAATATTAATAATAAATATTATTGCTATTTATAATGATGTTAATAAGAAGAAAAATAACAAAAACAAGATTTACTATTGTGAAGAAAATACTCGTTGGGACGTAGTGGAAATTAGAGGGGAAACATATTTCATTTTATCAATGTTGTATACATATGTTTTCAGACAAGGCGGTGATAACCCAATTGGTAGAACACAAAGAGCTGATGGATGGGCTGACACACAGAAAGAGTTGGAAACTATCGCTTTGTTTGACGATATTCTCGTAAACTACGATAAAAGAATACGGCCAGGATATGGCTGTGAGTATACTGTCTTTTTCTTCATGTGTGATATTTCATGTTATAAGGAATTAATATAATCTCGTCATGCAAATATATTTTACAATACCACATTTAAAGCCTTTTTTCATAGTAACTACTGTATCAACTAAAACATTTTATTTCCCCCACAATGCAACAGGAAGCATTGCAGTGGCACCGGGAGAAATTATTATCAAACATTATCGAATTTCACCTATTTTGTTAATAGGCAAAACTTCGTACAATAACAATAATTTAAGTCAATTGACACAAGTTTTTCAAAGGGAAATAATTGCAAAATGATTTATTTCAACACTCTTATAAAAATATTAATTTACAGTTTGAAAAACTGGATGCAGAAAAATATGCTTGAAGTAAAGATACAAAATTTGTTTTAAAATGTTGACGTTTCTTTACTGCATTAGTGGTCAACCACGAAAGCATATGTAACAGTCTATTTACCGGCCAACGAAATTGTCGCAAAGGCTTATGGGTAGACGCTTGTTTGTAAACAATGACACGCTATGGCCATCTGACGCATGCGCAGATGACGCCCCCGCTTTAATTCAATGAAAATTGGTACATATATACTTTAACACAATGTGACGTTCTAATTAGTTTTGGGTTTATATACATCCATAATAGTTACCTAATTTGCGTAATAATTTAATTTACATTTTAGCTTTCCCCGAATTTAGTTAGGATTAATCAGCACCATATATTGGAAAATATTTAATATCAGCTCTAAAACAATATACAGACATAAATTTATGCATAATAATTTATATACTAGTAATAATTCATTTGGTTCATTGGAGTAATTCGAAGACATGATTAGTGTAATGTTGAAAAACGTGATATTGATTATCTATTATTAGATCATTTCCGATAACTAAAAAATCAGATTTAAATTGAATTCATCGCAGAGGTGCTTTGGAATTAATTAGACTAAAAATCACGGATGAAAAATATATTTTTTGTATGTATAATAAATTTTAATAATGTGAATAACATTGTTTTCACGTTGTGCACCTCAAATAGCAGACAATTATTAGTTGTCGTATGACAGGCAATCTTAAATTTTGAATCAATTTTAATGTGTCTCTTTTCAGCACACGGGAGTTCTTTCTAAGCTTTCTTTGATTTGTTAGTTAAAGTATTCTGCATAACTGTATAGGTGACTTGAAACACAAACACAAATGTTGCGGCCTCTGATTTTCTTTGTTTTTACACTTATTTTGTTTTTATAATGTTAAAATTTTTCAAGATCGCTATATCAATTTACAAATTTTGTGAATTAGAACACAAATTGCGTGTCAGTCGGCTTAGAGGGCATACTGTGTGTAAGAACTGAATACATACGAAATACTGACAATCAAATAACAAATTGAAATGTGGTAACATAACATGACACAGCGGCGTCAATCATCAGTCACACAAGGGTGCTTATCTAACTATCATATACACCACTACGAAAGACCAAATTGATGACTTCAAAAACACCATGTATCCCATGTACATGTTATTCCTTATTGTCAATAAGATGATGAAATAATGTACTGATCTCATGTTGATATGTATACACAAATACTGTTAAGCACAATTTGTAAAGCGCACTTGGAAGACCGATTCAATTTTCACAGCTTGTTGCTGCTGAAGCCGGAAATCGAGTTTCTTTTCATGTGATACGTCGTTGTCATCCAGCCCAAGGGCAACAGGATTTATATTAAAGGTTGACATTGTTCGATTATTTCTGCGATCCTATCCATACGGTTTATTGAAAACGGAAAAGCATGAATAACAGACTTTTATTCACGCCTACAAGTTCAAAATTATCAATACAGAAGCAGTATTTGTGTGTCCTTGCAAAGCATGGCCTTGATCATTTACGATAATATTACGATGATGACAGCACGACATACTGCCACTGTACTGAACACGACATTGGTGAACTGTATAAGGGGTAAATCAAGAAAAATAGAAGAAGACAGTTAATTCAAAAATTAAAAGTTTTAATATTAGAACAATGTTGGGGTATGTATTAATATGTACAATTTTTGTTAGCGAAAACAAGCTGTTGTATTAGAGCGACTGTAAACAGTACATTAATGCCCCTCATTTTATGAATGCGTCACGACACGCTTGTTTGCGCCACCATCAGTATTCTTTATCAATTAGTTGGAACGGATAAACGTCGCACATACCTTCCCACACAATGTCGAGCATAAATATTATATTTAAATTGAATCATTACAAATATACTAATTCTCATCTTGTTTTGCTTTTTATAGCTAACAGTCCTGTCAGAAATACAGTGCAAATATATCTTGCCAGCTTTGATTCATTAGAAGAGACAAAAATGGTAATTATAACAGTGTGTGATTTTGAATACACTTTCAGGTTTGATATTGAACCCACAAATTTTTAAATATGTCACAGTTCTTTTGAAAAGGAATACTAATCTAATAATTCCCAGTGTTCACTGCTCCCGATTCCAGCTACATTTACAGTACATCTTTGCGTGTTACATTTTTACTTACATGCGACCTAAATAAAAATCACAATAACAGACTATATGACCTTTCAATCCATATGGTAAAACTGTTTATGAATTCAAATGAGCTATTGTTAATTGTGGTTCGTTTTCAAGTGTTTTCAACTGATGTTTTATGTATCTTCAATCTCAGTTGATGATTGACAAATTTAGTACATTGAACATTTGTAACCAAAATAGTATATATATAACTGTGTGTGTGGGGATATTAAAGAAATGGAAAATTGATAAACACTGTGCAAAGCAATGATATCTATCAGGCTCACATAAAGTGGTCAATATCAAAAACACAGAAGAAGCCATTCAGAAAAGTTCACATTTGTCAATTAACCGAATGTTTTGTTGCGTTATTTCCACACAGACCTACAGCATTACGATATACTTGCGTCAGCAATGGAACGATCCACGCCTCGCGTATGATGACTCAAGAGAACTGCCATCTAATAACTACTTAGTGGATAAAATATGGGTACCAGATTTGATGTTTGGTCACGAGAGAAAAGCAGTTTATCACGAACTGACAGTGCAAAATAGGTTTGTCAACATCGACTCTAATGGTACTGTCCAATACAATGCACGGTGAGTAGTCGCTCTCACCGTACTCAGCTGCCACTTCTCAAGTATATTGTTGGATATCTGCGTCATGCAGCTTTGCTTTAAAAGAGCGCAATTGGGTCGTATGGAACACAATTGTTATATACTAGGTCAAAGTTCAGACTCAAAAGGGAAACATAAGGTTTGAAAACAACATACGTATGTAATTTGTTTTGAAGCAACAATTTTACAATATTATAGCGGTGAACATACGGTGTTCAACTGAAGCTTATTTGGAATCTTCCGTATAAGAATGTGTAACTTTTCTATTTTTTTTATTGTCAACTTATTTAATATGCATGGATATATTATTTTGGGATCTCGCCACAAATAGTGTGAAACATAAGCATGTCACAGAAGCACCGATGAATGTCATGACGTATATTTTCACGTAATAAACACGAATTTGAAAGATATTTAGCCAAAGATACGGACAGGCATAATGTATATTACTGTTCGACCTAAAACGTTGTACATATATACATTTATTTTATTTTATGTATGGTGTGAGATAACGTTTTTAATAAGGAATGGCACGTCCGTAGGTTATACTACGCTGTTAGATTGATGAAAATCTAATTTTAAATTATTTTGTGACGTCAATATGTCTGCCACGTCATTGCTTTATTAAATGGTACAATCGCATTTTGAATCACGTTTTTGCTGGCAACAACACATTCATTTGTTACTTATCTTGTGCCATCTTCCTCCAGTTAAAAATATAATAAACAACCCACTATTTCGATAAATCTTTATCTGAAATTGATGACGTCATGCTATTGTATTGTATCGCCCACTTATCATTAGGGTTAATTTATTCATCAGCCCCCGAAGTTAAAGACTATAGTAATAAGCAGTTCTTATACCGCAAATCACCTTAGTTTTCAGTAAATAACCCTAACCATGTAACAATACAAATACATTGAAATAATAAAACTACATAATATGGTAATGGCGAATAGTAAACACAAATTCCTCGTGTGTATGCGAATATGTGGTAGGTGATGTGGTGCGTTAGGTTTCGAAATGGCGGATATAGTCAAATGTGTAGAGTTGCAAAATCGTGAACATTTCTCGAATGTGTCTACTTTCATCTTGCTATGTGGTATACACTTACTGCTGAGCAAATAAATAAAGTCATCTTTAATACATTTTGAGTGAAGAAAATAATCCCAGAAAGCGAATGTTTCTAACCGCTAGAGGTAGGTGTTCAACATTAGGTTAACATTACCAACACTTTCTCATTTTCAAACTGGAACGGCTGCAGGGTATGAATATGGCTACAGGGTTCCCTCAATCAGAATATGACCCCAAATATACATGCCCATTGCCTTAATTCTGTATAAACTAAACCTCGTTTTCAAAAAAATATAATGACACACTGTGTTGAATATAAAACATTTTCAAAAGTTACTTGATTGCAATCTAGTTCGAGCAATATGAATTGCTTTAATACAAGACATTCTAACAGGCAATCGAAGTGTTTTAAAATTATACGATTATTATACAAGGTAATTTGTTTAAAATCTGATGTAGTGTACCGGCTTTAATTATTTTCGCTATAAACTTATTTTTCATTACTTTTGTTATTAATGCCTTTTTATTTTACTTTGATTTTGATTTTGTGATTTTAGTTTCGCCCTACATACCAAAACTTTGAAAAAATAAATACTAGTACTAGATCAAAATAAAATAAAATAAATATACAAAAACTAGAATCTTATTTCAATCAGATTGTATATATATACATGTGTATATGGTCTTTATTTACAAGTTCAAGGCCATCGGCCCATAAAAGTATATACACAAATATTCTTAAATTACAAAAAAGTTTCAATGTTTCATAAGCTGCCAAACATTTAATTATATTGGTTTCTTGTAAAGTTAATAATTCTACAAATTTATGAAAAGATGGAGAGTTGAAATAGTATTTTGGAAGATACAATTGACAAAATCCAGAATAAAATGGGCATACTAAAAAGAAGTGGTATTCGTTTTCAATTTGATTTACAACGCCGCTGGTCTCTCTCAAATGTTTCCCTGTCAGTTTCGATGCCCAGGCTATGCGAAGAGGAACGAAAATGTGCTGGGGTTTTTCTGTGTGAGTTTATAGTGACCGAAGTAAGATTTTCTTACAATGATGTATTGTAAGTTGACTTGCCTACCATCCACTCACAAGCAAGCCAGGGATTCAGATTATTAAACTGCATGAATTTGTATTGTGTCAGAAGGATTTGTCATATTTGTTGATGTTTACACGTAACATCTTCTTTTTCCAACAGAATTAGTTTGTCTTTGCACTGTGAGATGGACTTCCATCGCTTTCCAATGGATAAACAACAATGTGGATTGGAAGTCGAGAGCTGTGAGTAAAGTGTTTAAAGAGCGGTGGTCGTCGCGCCACGCATGCACAAAATATGGGTCGTATATGACCAAAGATGATGACTTTGACTGTTGCCAAGACCAACGAGTACAAACTAAGACATTACTAAGTTTAAATTAGCTATTTTTTGTTGGTGAATAGAAGGTGTGCAAGGCGTTACCTGCGGCAATTAGTGTACGTCGCCGCGCCCAGGTCAAAACTTATATTTTTTATTTCCATTAGCATAAATATCGAACATGCGCCGCGCGACGAACACCGCCCTTTAATTCAAACGTGTTCATTGTTGTCATGCTTTAATTTATGCCATTGTTATTTGCTTCTTGGTAATCATAGTTAACTGCTGCTTAGTAATCTCTAAGTTTACAATCGCTTGAAACCAATATACATTCAAGAATGGATGATTAATTTTATTAATTTTTAATCACAGAAGGCCTGTGATTATAATTCACAATGATATATGGTCAGTGCCTCATGTGGAGCAGGTTGTACTCACCCTTTTGGAAACATCAATATCACTTCGCGTATACCATGGTCCCATATATCGTTCTCTTACTGATTTGACTATATGATGTACTTATCAGTTATTGTTTTGTTCTTATGGATGGATTGTTTGATTGTTGTCAGCCTTTGTGTTTTTGGATTTTCTCTATAGCACTTGTGTTCAACGATATATGGTTGAGTATGTTATTTTCCCTTTGCCTCGTATCCGATATTGACGATATGTTTTTGTTTTAAGATAGTGGGCTGCTTTAAATGCTAATTGTTACAGGTGAATTAAATATTTAAAAATACACATCAATCATCTAATTAAGCGAGTGTTTTACTATAAATGCTCACCACCCGAATTGCCTTATATTGAATTGATTTGTGTCTTGAATTCACTTCCTCTGCTGAAATGCATTTTCGGATTACCATATTCATATTTGTTACAGTTCGATATACAACAAAAGATTTAATGTTTAATTGGATAGAAACGGAACCCGCCGAATTTAAAAACGAAAATTTGAAGCTGCCCCAATTTGAGCTTGAAGGACTCCGAATAACCGAGTGCACGAGAGTTCTGATCTCAGGTAAGTGAATTAGGTCATACTAAGCATTTATTGTATAGTGTCTATTCATATTAATAAGGGTTTCAAGAAGAAGTCGTTTGATAGTCGGAAAAATCGAATAATAAATGAATGTTATTTTAACCATCATTTTCATTAGATCGATGTACATACTATATTCTTCCCAATCACCAAATATCCTTTCAGGAAACTACACATGTATTGGACTTGAGTTCCTGATGAATAGAGAGCTCGGTTACTACCTACTACAGACGTACATTCCAAGTATTTTGTTGACAGTTATATCATGGGTGTCTTTTTGGATAGATATCAAATCGTCACCTTCAAGAGTAGCCCTGGGCATAACAAGCGTACTCACGATGATAACTGCCCTGAACGGAGTCCGCGGTGATTTGCCACACGTCTCCTACATCAAGGTCAGATAACAATTAAAAATTCATGTGTTTGAACTTTTTCTCAAAATCAGAGTATTTTAACCCGTAACATGGAATATTGAGCATACATTGAAGTTATTATTATTAGTAAAGGTGTAACTGAACAAATATGTACGTGTACGCAACACCATATTTTGTCAGTTTTAAATAGTAGGAAAGTAGTAAATAGTAGGTTTACGGGAATTGTGATTGATGGCTCTCACAATACAGATAGCTCGACATAGACGTGTGCACAGCCTGGTGTATATCGGTATGCGTATTGCAATGCAAAAGCAATAATATGACTTATTATTAAGCGCATTTGTGAAAGGTGACAGATGGTACACGGCGCATATATGCACAAACCTATATCAGTAAATAATGGTTTATTAGTTACACGGATAGACGGTATGATGACAATGTCCTAATTTTAGCCTACAATTTGTCATTTTTATGTAATAATATAAGAACTTTGAAGAAACACATGTGGCCATATGTTAAATTCTAATTATCAATGTCATTGGCGTTTACATTTTTACCGCTCAACTCATCCACCACCCCCAATAATATTATGACATCGTCATATCCGGTTACGGGATTTAGTTTTTTCCCCTGTGCGTCCGCTTCCGTGGTTAATGGACAACGCAAGTTTTCAGTTAACGATTTAATTAAAATATGTATGTTATCAAACTATTCAACTAAAGTCACACACAATGTGTGCACTCGAAATTGTATGACAATATTAAACAGATTAACAAAATCAATTGACGTGTCTGTTTTTATTTATAGGCAATCGATGTATGGTTTTGTATGTGCCTTGTGTTCGTTGTAACAGCTCTCGTGGAGTATGCGATTGTACATTATTTGTCTTCTAACAAGCTTCATTTCTGGTTCTCAGAGAAGAAAGCTTCTAGGGTTAGTAAGGTAATGATTCCATAATATTTTAAATATTTTTTTTTATAAATTCCAATTCATAATTATTTGACATAGACTAATTTGAATATATGCTACATAATAATGCAAAAAAAAACAAAACAAACAATAATCTGCGAATAAATATTAATAAATGTTACTCTTGTTGTCAGGAAAAGAAGCAATCGGGTGACAGTTGTCTCACACTAACCATCATTGATAAGCCAATGAAACCCATAAATGGTTGTTCAGACATTGATAACCAAGACGAAAACAAAGTATGGGTACGAGGTAACTGCAGTAAACCACAACCAGAAACATATGATATTGGAAAAAAGATTGATAGAGTTTGTCGAATTGCTTTCCCACTTTCTTTTCTTATTTTCAACATATGCTACTGGTCCTATTACAAGATATTCGAATTCGACCAAGCACATCTTACATTCGAAGAATAAGGAAGCATGAGCTAATATAAATCAGAAGGAGATATTGTAATTGTATATACTATATAAGAGAAACATACAAACATAATTACATTATATATATATTCATAACAGTCTATATGATGCGATGTATGTTGTTATGTGAGTAAAATAAGAGTAACCTCTAGAATATATGAACTCAGGGATATGTTAACTGATAGAAGAATGACTGATTTAAAGTTATATTACGCGGAAATAGTCTTTTAGCAAGTTAGTTGTGTGTAGTTAGAAACAGACATATTTATAGTACGAATGGAGTTGGAAAAATGTTGTTATAGGGACGATTGAAATCAAAATATGTTATTTCTGGTAAATTTTGAAAGTGTAAATAACTCATGAAAGGCGCGAAAATATGCAAAGTTTATAAGCATGTAAACATTAGGTAAACAAAATGTGTCTTGTCGACTTGAGTTATGAGTTATGAAATATGTAATTATGAAAATCTTGAGTCAATTATGAATTATCTGCCACCAGCACAGCGCAGACAGAATTGTACTTTTCATTTTATCTGAAATTGTCTGCTTCAATAAATGCGTCAAATGTACACCCCCTTATATTCTCTTATAATGGGTAAAATATATATTATAAAATGTAGAAAGAACAGAAAATAACTCATTTTGAAATCTAAGGCGATGCTCTTTTTGTGTACACATTCAGTGGACAATACAAGAATATCGTGTAAAGGACATGGCCTGCATGTAAACAGGCCACGCAATAGACCGACAGGTTACATATCAGTGTGATTTGCATGCCTCAACTGTGTCTACAAAACAATTATATAAATGTACTAGGTGTAATATGAGTGTATCCAAGGGCATATAGTATGTATTCTCAATACCATTTTACCTTCAAAGTCAGTTACACACTTCGATTATATAGCGGAAATTTTCGTTGTAATTCAGAATTGTATGATAAATTTACGAGCAACGCTGCATACCAGTACCATAGTTATAGAATGTGTTGTTTTATTTGATATTAAGCAGTGTAATTCAGTATTAATAAAAGGTTAATTATAGCAAAGACGTTATAAACAGGAGCAAAAAGAGTACAATAAATTGTTATTATTATTTGACTACTTAATATATTAAGTGTTTGTAAACATTTTAAAGTAAATTTTAGAATAAATTACCGCTGTAAATGGATGAATTTTGTTTGTACTTCTTATTACTTGTATTAAATTGCCGGCTACCTTGTCAGTACAATCAGTCAAAGCCAGTCATGTATCAAGGAACTCAATTATGAAAGAACATAAATAATTCCTATTTATTTATTGTTGCACAAATCGCACAAACAAGCATTTCTAACCCCCCCCCCGCCAAATCAAAAGAGATACCATTTTCACTCAGGCATAAACGTTTTCTCTTGGGAATTCCTGAAACATTTATAAAACAATGATTCCGGGAGATCCTTTTGCTAAATTCAAACCCAAATAAGACGAATTTACTGACCAGATAAGTCTGTTGATAAAACCCAATCATCGTTCCCTCAATGATGACCGAATTTACTGACCAGATAAGTCTGTTGATAAACTCAATCATCGTGCCCTCAATGATGACCGAATTTACTGACCAAATAAGTCTGTTGATAAAGCCCAATCATCGTTCCCTCAATGATGACTGAATTTACTGACCAGATAAGTCTGTTGATAAACTCAATCATCGTTCCCTCAATGATGACTGAATTTACTGACCAGATAAGTCTGTTGATAAAAGCCAATCATCGTTCCCTCAATCATGACCGAATTTACTGACCAGATAAGTCTGTTGATAAAGCCCAATCATCGTTCCCTCAATCATGACCGATTTATGCGGAATATTAATCTTAACCAATTTATTCAAATTTATTCGCTTAATTTATCCATTAACAGAAAGTAGATACGTCACTCCAGTTTGCTACAGAACCTGTATTTCAAAACATAATATTTCCAGGTACCAGGAAAATTGTCGTTGTAGAATTCTATACTGATGTTATTTTTTCGCACTCAGTGAAATGCATTGTGCTTAGCCAAGTTGTTTTCAGTCTTCTTTAAATGTTGTACTGCTGAGCACCACTCTCCAAGGCAGTTCTATTTTGAAAACTAAAATAAAAAACCTAAACAATTTAGCTTGTTTCTTCTTTTTTGAGATATTCTTCCAAAACGTTGGTGTTCATGGTGAACACGGTTTTATGTTGCGTGTTTAAAGTAACTGGTAACTTGTGTCACGCGCATGCTCATTCAGCGAATATATTATACAATCAGGGACAAGTGTACAAGTTGCATATTCTTTGCAAAAGCAATAACAACTTGCACCTGAAACCTTTCTTTTGATTTTCTGAGAAAAGATGAGAATCGGAATGTACCCTGCACAAACTGGAAGGTAGGGTGTGTTTATACAACACACATGGAAGTCTGCAATGCATGGTATGGTTTTATTATAAAATGAGTTCACCAACATGTTGCATCCAACATTATTAATTTATTACTCCGGAAAAGTTTTTTTTTTAGTACAATTCACAATTAAATATGCTTCACCACCGATTTCACTTGGCGGTAACGGGTACGCTAGTTTTGTATATATTGTTTCAGATCTTTATACATGCATGTATTATATTTTATTTGGCCTATTGGTCCAAAATATAGTTAATTAACACATTAATACACAGCAAATGCACAGTCAGCTGGCGCACACGTGATAATAGAATAAATATGATATTTACTATATAGGGGCCGCCATCTTGAATGCAGCAGAATAGAATAGAATAGAATAGTGCTTTAATGGCACCGCAAAGAAAAAATTACATTTTGTTTTTGGTTATGTACATCAATGAAGTTGAAAAATTGAAATGAAAAATTGTAATGTAAAAATTGAAATGTAAATTGAAAACATAGTAATGTATTAAGTAAAAAATATGAATCTTGAATGCAGCATGAAACTAAATAAGAGACAAGTTGTGAAGCGCGTTTTTCAGATTCCTACAAATCAGGACAAAAATTCCAATCTTTCACAGAAATACGATCCGGTGGGGTTATATTAAGCCAACCGATAACAAAATTCTACCGAATTCAGCGTTTTTGTGTGGAAAAATCCCTTGCATACGAATACCCAATTAGAACAAAAAACATAGAACACTTTCCTGGGGTATTTGAAACCGAAATTGTCATCTGACTGTAAGACCGTCGCTGATTGCCTGCTGAGCTGGAATGTCAATTTTTGGTTTCAAATATCCCAGGAAAGTGTTCTATGTTCTTCGAGTAATTAGGTGTTCGTATTTAAGGGATTTTTCCACACAATAACGACGATATCGACCGAATTTTGTTATCGGCTATCGGTATTTTTGTGAAAGATTGGTATTTTTGTCCAGATTTGTAGGAATCTGAAAAACGCGTTTCACAACTTGTCTCTTATTTAGTTTCATGCTGCATTCAAGATGTCAGCCCCTATATAGTAAATATCGTATTTATTTTATTGTCACGTGTGCATCAGCTGACTGTGAGCAAATGACTGCTTAATTTCTCACGCAATTTGAATCTGATGCGATTTACCCCTTGTCGCCGCTAGAGGGCAGAAACGTAACCCGGAAGTAGAACCGATTGCGACATTGTGAACTCTCCATGTGTTCAAAAGAAGATCGTGTGAATATTGTGTCTGAATTATACTGAAATATACTTCTTTATATGCCACAATGGGGCGACTAAATGTAACTATGTTGAGATATCTGTCCAGGGAAGATTTTAGAGTGTTGACAGCGGTAAGTACTGCAATAATATGCCTTCAAAAGTCCAAGGTTGCCTTTCCCATTAGTTCGGTAGGTTTCGCGTTTTGTACAGAGGCGGCGGCACGATTTTTTCGCATGGGGGGGGGGGGGTCTGCTTACCATCCCTTGCTTCCCGGAGGCGCAAGTGCTCGCGTAGTTTTTCCGGTGCTGCCGCCACTGTTTTAAACTGATAGACGAAGCCTAGGACCCTATCCGGACCAAGAAAGACGCGAAACCATTTCGGCTGGACTATGCATCGTTATCTTACATTTATTCGTTATTTTTGACGTTACTTTTTCCGCACAGTCACCAGCACATGAAGGAGCGACATTGTCATTAGATTCAATATCCGATAATAGATTATTTAAAATTTATCAGATCTATTAGAAACTATCTGGTTTATTATCGCTTATGGTAGTTATTTCCCGATAAAACCGGTCACTGGTAGCATAGTGGTTGTTTCATGAGACTCGTGATCGGTAGACCCAAGTTCAAATCCTACCTTAGGCTGAACATCAAAGGGTTGACCCCTACCCCGGGTGAGTGTGCCACAGACTCAATGGGCATGCCAATTCCACTGGCCGAGATTCATTCACTAACGAATGTGACTTTGGGGGAACCTTAGTTAAGGTCTGCAGGTGCTTGTGTTCGACCGGGCCTGGTTGACGCCAGGATAGCGCATTACAAATTGCCATTAGACAGAGAGATGGCTACACAGCCCTGTCACGTAGTCCCAGAGATGAATATGACTTCTGTGGCAAAATGCACCATTGCAATTTGCACATACAGAAAAAAAAGTCAGGAGAGACAACAGTGACACTCAATGTCTGGAACTGTCGCCTGGCACAAAGAAATATAATATCCAATAAAAATTGATAATATATCTAACTGATCTAATAGACAATTTTATTTAGATTTCTATTATATCTAATGGACATTGTCAGCTTGAAAAATATGGCTTTAATTATATTCTCCATTAGATATGAAAACTAGCAGTACTCCACTGCCATTGAAATTTGTCTAATCAAAGTACTAATGTATCAAAGTTCATTATGCTAATCAGTCGGACTTTAAGATTTGTCACTTGACCATGTGGAGTTTGGAGATTTAAACTAAAAATTCTAACAAAGAACAGTTTATCTGCCTCTGTTCAAGACAGTCACCCTTGCTAGTATTGTATTCAAAAAACAATCTGCTGAACTCTTGACACCCATGTGTTTATTAGCTGCCAATACTTGCTATGTTTACACGGCAGCATTCTATCAGAGTCGAACTAATACTCCTCCCTCCCCCCAATAAGCAATTTTTCGCAAGCTGCGAGATCACGCGTGACTACGGTTTACGCACCTTAGCAACCAATTCAGTCACGTGATACAGGTCAAGCTTTCAGTTCATTATGGTAGCAACCACATTGTCCTACGTGTTGTAAACCTCATCTCGAAATAATATCTGTTCCAATGGGAGTCAAACGGTGTGCTTACGGTAAATGTAAGGTTCTCGCTTTCAGTATAAAAATTATACGAATGCTGTTTTTTTTGTGTGATTACCTAAACCAAAAACGCAGTTTGAAAAGTGCGATCGATGGATCAGTGCCTGTTCTCGGGCAGACAATTTTGGTCGACACAGAATCACCCAGGACATGTACGCTTGTTTCCTGCACTTTGTGGGAGGAAAGGGTTCTTCGGAGTCGTGTCCAAACCCAACAACAGCGATTGCGAGAGGTGTCGAACGCTGCATATTCAAGTCGAGGACATCGCTGAGCGGCAATCAAAGGAAGCGCCGGAAAACATTGAAACCTGTTGATACGGTTTAACTTTCTTTTGCAAGTTGTACTGATCGAAACTTTAACGTGCCATGCCATCAATATTTATTGTTTTAATTTTATGATCGTGTATTTTATTGCGACCCCGAATAAAATGTGGCTTAGCATGGAATTGACCATGACAATCATATGAGTGATTGTCCGTCGTCGTCCGTGTCAATGTTTTACTTTTTCGACTTCTTCTTGAAAACTACAAGTCTGAATGATTTGATACTTGGTGTATATGTACCTTGGGTAGACCTCTCTTAGGTTTGTTCATTTTATGTTGATATCTTCAATTCTCTAATTTTGGTGAATATTTTTGTCATTTTTGGTAAAAACTGATATTTTCGACTTCTTGTTAAAAACCGCAAGTCCAATTGCTTTGATACTACATATATAGGTACTACATGTGGACCTCTCT